TCCCGCCACTTCTCACTGTCCCTCCAAGCTTCCTCTCCCGTCTTTCATTTCAGCGCTGGCAAATGGCTCTGAGGTCTAGTAAATTTTTTCTGAGATGCGTGACAGACAAAAGAGAAACCGCTCTTCCAGGTTGATGGAGAGGGCTTCTGGATAAAGCTCCCACTGCAAAATGAAGCCCGCCCCCTACCCGACCCCCCGGGTCTCTCTGCTTTTTCTTGAATCTGCTCAGCAGAAGCTGCAGCACTTTTGGATTATTCCAGAAATGGTTTCCTTTCGAGCCCTGCTGTCAGTTTTCTTTAGGCTGATCAGGCGGTTTATGGATGCTTTACTCTGAGCCGGGTGCCTTCAGTGACCCAGAACTGAAGACCCCCCCGGGCAGGTTCAGCACTAGCCACCCCCTCCTCGCTCCCCTCCCACCGTCCCGCAGCTTCCCTGCAGATTTCTCTGCCCGCCCCCTCCCCATGGAAAGCCCAGGGCTGACACCATCAGCATCCTCTGCGCCCTGCAGAATGCCCACCTCGCTACCCACCTGCCCTGCCAGCCCTTCGAAGCCTCAGGCTCTGAGCCCTATTGTCCTTGGAGTGTCAGGAAGCAGGAAACTCATTCCGAGTGAGGGTTGTTTCCAGGTCAGGAGAACAATTTCCTCCCACTCCTGACAGCACTCTGCGGTCCAGCTCCAGAATTCTGGATTTAAGTCCCTTCTTTGCGAGCTTTCCTCTTCAGATCCTTCTGTAAGTAAGGGACACCATTTCTGCCCCTATTAAAAAGAGAGGAGGCTTTCATTTTCAGACTCGAAGTGCATCTGACTTGGATGGAGCATTTTTTTATGCTTGAAGAAGGGAAGATAAATTCACTTGCATGGAGCACATACCACCTGCCTCTGGATCCAATGTACCTGGGTTAATTCTCCCATATTTCACTTCCTCGTAGAATATGGACAGCCCATGGCTGAGATGGTAGGAAAAGGAGCGGCTGAGCTGAACCATACATGACCTGGGCTCCCTGCTCCCTGAAACACTGGGGATCTGCCACTCCCTGGATAATCGATAGTAGAAACTGCTTTGGTCAGAACACTGACGGGCCTTGTCTTCTTGGTCGTTTGGGTTGCTTTGAATTCATTTCTATAGATGTGGTGGGGATGAAGGACAGATGTGAAGTGATGAGTGTTAGCAGTTTCCCTTCCCCTGGCCGGCTCCCCCAGCCCTCTGGGGAGCAGACATTCTTGCTCGGTCCAACAGGCCACCCCGTGTCATGGGGATGATCCTGGTGAGAGATAGTTTGGGAACAGACACCAGGCTGGCAAGTGGACAAGAGGAAGGAGGCCTGGTTGGCTGGATTTGAGACCCAGTGGAGACTGGGTCGTGTCCTGCAGGTGTGTGCATGCGTATGTGCATGTGCGTGTGGGCATGCACACACACACACACACACACACACACTCTGTCTGAACCTCCTTGTTTCCCTTACCCCCTCTTTCTGCAGGGGCCACGCCAGACCTCCACCATTCTCGCAAACTCTGGCTCCCCCTCCCCCATCTCTTTCTTGGCAAACAGCCTTGCACCCTACTCCCCCATCCCCATGGGTGCTCACTCAACCTTCCTCCTCCGGATTTAGAGACCTCCCTACACCCAGACCCAGGGTTTCCTCTTCCTCCCCACTGCCACCCAGGCCCTGTCCTTCGTCTTCTCCAAGGCAGTCCTTCCTCCTGCATGTCGGATGCCACCCACTCCCTTCCGTGCATCTCAGGGACCAAGGGTGGACCACAGCCCCACACTTTTATTTAACCTCTTCTCTTCTCAAGTGACTATCTTCCATTGGAAGTATTTCCATCTGCTCAAAACTTCCGTATCCTCAAAATGCCAAGCCTCTACTCCCCATCCTTCCATTGGCCTTTCTGTCCCTCTCTTTCATAGTCTGGGTATCACAGATGTCCCCGCGTTCATGGCCTCCGTTTCTTTCCCTCCCACTCATGCATTAGCTCTCCTTCCATACAGAACGCCACTTCCTGAGATCACCAGTGAGTCCAGTGCCTTCACACCCAAGGGCGTTCCTCAGTCCTCTTACCTTGATTCTCAGCAGATTCGACACTGGTGATGGCTTTCATCTTCCTTCTTCTCCTCTGGAAACCACAGTCTGTGGGTTTTCTTCATACCTCTGATGGCACCTTCCCAGTTGCCTTTGGAATCCCTTCTATGCTACTTGTCTATTAATGAGGGCTTTCTTAGGGCTCCGTCCTGGGCCCTCTCCTCATGCCACCCTGGGGCCTCTTGTTCACTGACTGAGGTCACGACCTCAGTTACTGTCTACATGGGGTCGATTCCCGGATTTAGAACTTCCAGCCCGGGTCTCCCACCTGGGCTCCATGCTTGTTTATCCAATGGCCTCGCTGCCTCTCTGTCCAGTGCTTCCACCAGCCGAGCAGATGGAAATCCTGGGGTCCTCCTTGGTGCCCTGTCTCCTCTCACTTCGTACCCGGGCAGTTGTGCCTCTAAATGTCTCTGATATCTAACCATTCTCCCCTTCTCCACTGTTACTACCCTTGTCCCAGCCACAGCAATCAACGCTGACCCTCCCTGTTCACTAGTCCCTTCCTCTAGACTCCACACCTGGGCCAAAGTGCCCTCTTCAGTGCGAAAACCTGACCATCTGACGTTCTTGTTTAAAACCCTTAAACAGCTTCTTGATGCTCTGGGGATAATGGGCTTGGTTATTAACAGAGACTGTGAGGCTTCGGTCCTCTTTATCTTTCTAGCATCGTCTGACACTCGCTCTCCCTCCCGAGCTCTGCCCCCTCGGTTCCTCACAGGGCACCCCGGAGAGGGGCAGCAATGCTACGAACAGTGAGTCTGGGACAACAGGACTGTGGTGGGGAAGCTGTGTGATTCCCCTACTCAGAGCTGACCTGCTCCCTGATGCCCAGATGTGTGTGCGTTCTACCCCTTCTGCCTGGGACTCTCTCTTCCTTGCCCCATCAGTTCTAGCTCAGCCTTCAGCCCTCATCCCAAGCTCAGACTCTTGGGTGACACCCTTTCATAGCACCCCATGGAATGCCTCTGTGGTGCCCCTGAGCCTTCTCTGACTTTCCTTGTCACTTTTGTCATTTTGCAGGTATTCATGGGATCTTGGATGAATACTTATCTCCCCGAAGTCAGGAACCATGTCAGGTTTGCTTCCCGATGTATATCCGGAGAGCAGTGCAGTGCCTGGGGTTTGAGTGCTGGCCAGTGTTCAGTAGGTTAGCAAATGCCTGGGTCAGGTGCTTGCTGGGAGGCGATCATGGCTGGTTTCCCATGTTTCTGCACATCTGCCTTTGTTGCTGACTCTTTATTCAAGGGTTTTCGTATGTTGAACAGCCTTGGAAGATGGAGACAAGGTCTCTCTCCAAAACCAAGGACAGGTGGCTAACTTTCGGAGGGGGTGGTAACGTTTTCCTCTGGAGGAAAGTGTCTGCACCCTACTGCCTGCTAGGAAAGATCTGGGTTCTCTAGGAGCAGGGATCAGAGATCTTCTTCTGCAGCACAGTTGACTGTGTGGGTAGAATCTGGCTCTTCTGCTGTCACCCAGGCGGACCCGGGGCTCAGGTCACCAACACGAACCACACGGGTCCCCTGACTGCTGCCGTCACTGACAAGCTGCCCTTTATCTCTGACCCGGGAGTGGTGGGTCTTCTCCCAGCTTCCATGCCCATCCCCGGCTGGGTGAAATTGCAGACCTTTCGCAAGTATTGACGTTGATTACACTAATTCTATTTGATTCATTCTGCATGTTTCTTGGACTTTGGTGTCAAGAGGTGGAGAAACAAAGCACGAGAACTTTGTGAATCCCAGGTCCTGTTCGTGTTTTCATGAGACAAATGGCATCCCGGGATCACTGCTGTCTGATGCTGACGGGGGCGATGGCTTTGGTGGCCATCTCTCTTTTTTTCTCTCGTTTTTGTATGTTCTCTTTTTTTCCCCTCTGAATTCTTTAATCTCTGCTCTATTCCCTTTCAAGTGGTTAAACTAGTTTCTCGCACAGTGTTAGCCGAATCGTAGTGGGGACTCCTAAAGAGGGGAAACACGTTCCAGGTTTGGATAAGGATGGTGGGAAAAGCGCTGGCTCAGAAGTTAGGAGACATAACTTTTAGATCTGTTCCAGCATAACTAGTTATGCGAGATGGGGCAGGTCACGAAACTCTGGCTTCCTCATCTGAACTCGTGAGTGCGTGCATTCATTCATTCATTCATGTGTGCATTCATTCATTCGTGCACTCATTCATTGAACAATTGCTTCTTAAATTATTTGAAATAAATGACGCCATTGCTTCCTTCAAAGGACTCACACGCTAATGAGACAGATGAGAGAATTCAAGATCCTAACAGGATGTCAAAGGCATGATAACAGAGGAAGTCCTGGGGACCTACCGCAGGGCCCATGTGGGTGGGCAGAGCAGAAAGAGAGATTCACAGTGAACCGTGCAGGCAGCTGGGGTCTGAGCCGAGTCTGGTAGGACAAGTGCTTGGCCAGGAAGAAGGCCAGGAGGGAGGTTTTGGTCAAAGGAAGGAGAAAGTCCCAACAATTCCTGTTGAGCCTTTATTTACCAGACTGTGCCTCTACCAACAGATGGCCCCGCGTCTCCAGTGGTGTCACCCCTAGGGCCATGAAAAGTGCACCGGGCAGAAGGCAGCAAGACAACACACTGAACTCTACCATTAGCCCTATAATCTGGGCCCTGCCTTCTTGTCTGCCCAAAGGGGATGGTATCAGTATCCCTCAGGGGGTGGTGGTGGGATGTGAGGGCTCGGCAGGGCCCTGGCACATGGCAATCAGCCAAGCAACTGCATCAAAACTAGGGGAACACTTTGGAAATTATTCATGACTTTGTTTTTGCCTCTTTGAGAACATGACCTTCTCCCTAGTTGGCCCAGGATCTCCATCTGCCTGGGCTGAGAGGAGGGAGCAGCGACGAGAATCCTGCAGGGAACTAGAGGTAATTCTCAGTTTCCAACGGGCATAATAGGATTAGGCAACAAGAGGTTAGGCTTGAGAAGCAGGATACCGTCTTGAGGTGGCTTTACAGATTCTTTATTCCCCTACTTTGCCTCTTCTCCCCCATCACCTTCATCACAGTTGTCCGAAGGAAGACAGGGCAGTGCAGGGCGTCTGGCGGGAAGATGCCAGACTCCCATTATTTACATCTATGAGAGTCAATGAAAAGAGCTGAGCAGCCTCAGTCCCCAGGGGCTGGCTGCCCTTCCGGAAGCCTGCAGGAGGACAGAGCCATGCTGGCCCCTAAATAGCTCCCGCTCCCCATGTTCTTCAAACAAGCATATGCTTGGAAAACGACTGGTCTGCAAATAGCCGTATCATACCAGGTAGGAAAAAATATTTGCTATCTCTTTTTAATTGCAGAAAGGGACAAAGCAATCCCAAGACTTTGGAAGCACCAAGGAAGATTTTCGATAAATCCTCGGGGTGCATTCAGTGCTGGAGCCCGCAAACATGTCCACTGATTTACATTTTTAAAAGGAAAGAGTGTTGTTTTAGAATTCTCTGGATTCCTGTCTCTTAGAAACGCTATTGTGCTTCCAAGGAGTTAGCATAGGATTAGACACGGTGACTGGAAGTATAAAAGTCTGCAAATTATCCTTCCTTTGGGGGTTATTGAGTTCTGTAGTTTGCTTTGCTCTTAAATGGTGCTTATTTGCTGCTTGTGGAAATGGAAACAGACACAGGATTTGTTCCAGATCTGAGCACTCGGAGTCGAGGGGCAAAGACAGCAATGAGGCATCTCATTGTGCTCCTCGCTTTTTTTCACGAGAGAATGACATGTGGTGTTGTGCATTCAACAGATAAAGAGATGATTGCTATCAAATATTTGAGGCATTTCCTCCCACTCTTGAAATTTGAAATTTAATTTCTTTCCCTTCCAAAATAACATTTGACATATTTTAAAAAAGCCGAAAAGCGCCGCGAGGCTTATAGTGAAAAATAACAATCTGTGCCTAACGAAGAACGGGGACAAACCCTTAAAAGTCTTTTGCCTGTTTGTTCTGCTTTTTTAAGTTCTTATTTCTAAATAATAGGCTTATACTGCTCTTTGTTGATTTTTGATTCCTGTGACTTCCCACTTTTTTTTAATGCCCCTTCCCCACCCCCACCTCCATGCAATAAACACTTCCCAAGCTGCTGCCTTCCTCCCAACCATCACTGCTCAGTGCTCATGTGATCATGGTTATATCTGTATTTTTCACAGCAACGCGGCATGTCCTTTTGTCATTCACTGTTGCTCTGTGTCAAATATTTGGAAGTCTACCTTCAGGGTGGACTTCTGAATTGAGGTGGGGTCATGTGACTGATCTGGCAACAAACTCCAGACCATTTAATTGTTGATGTGAAATTCTCCAGGGCTCTCTTTGCATCTGGCCACGTTCCAGAAGATGATTGCTCCATGGTCCGGGTCCTTTTGTGACTGTGATCAAGAGAGTCCTTTTTTCAACTGGCAGCGAGCAAAAGATAAGATCTGATTGTTTTAAGCTACTGTGGTTTGGGGGATGATGTTGGTTACCATGCTGTAACCAAAGTTTTCCTAACTGAATTCTTTCCTGACCAAATGTTTATCTTTCCTGGAAATAGCAATGCGTCATTTAAAAAAGTTTGCTTAATTTTCTCTGTACCAATCAGAAATGCAACTCTGAAGTCTACACGAAGGGTCTGAATCTCTTCTCAGTATTTTTATCAGAGACTCTATTAATATTACCCTTTATCTACTCAAGGGTTGCCTTCTAGCCTCCTGCACAATTGTCTTCCTGGAGATTCTCTTCACCTCTCTGGAGCATAAATCCCCCAGTAACTTATTTTTGGCCAATGAGATGTAGGCAGCAATGCTGTGTGTGACCTTTGGAAAGTGTCCTTAAAGAGAAGAGACTTATCTTTCTCTTTCCTTCTTCAAGCTGCATGGAATAGAATGTGATGGCTGGAGCTCTGGCTGCTATTTTGGAACATAATGATAGGTTATCCTAAAGGAGTCCAGGTCCCTGATAATTGTGGAACCTCCAAACAAGCCCTCGGTTGCCTATCATCACACTTTTTTTTTTTTTTTAAGATTTTATTTATTTATTTGACAGAGAGAGACACAGCGAGAGAGGGAACACAAGCAGGGGGAGAGGGAGAAGCAGGCTTCCTGCCGAGCAGGGAGCCCGATGCGGGGCTCGATCCCAGGACCCTAGGATCATGACCTGAGCCGAAGGCAGATGCTTAACGACTGAGCCACCCAGACGCCCCATCACACTTTTTTTTTTTTTAATGTGAAAAATAAACTTAAATGTCATTTACTCTGGTTTTGAATTTCTGGTCACATGAAGTTGAAGCTGATTCAAACTGAAATTTCCTTGTGCTTAGCTAAGTCCTTTGTTTTGGTGAAGGGCATCCTCTTATCTATCGTGGTTTGGTTAAGAAATAGAAGTGACTGTACACCCTAGATATGAGGGGATTTATACAAAAAAAAGGAACTGTCAAATCATTACTTCACAACTTTTATCAAAATTCATTCCAAATGGATTAAATAATTAAAATGTAAAACAGGAAGTTATAACATATAGGTAAACAATTATGACTTTAAGTTTGAAGGCTTTCTAAAGATGACACTAGTAGAAACCAAAAACAAGTTGAGTAGGGCTTAAAACGAAAATAAAATCTTTCATAGGACATATCACACCAAAACCAAAATAAACGAAAATTTATAGGAAACCATAATTAAAACTCAAGGCTGCTGTTTGAAGCTTCTTTCTTTCAGCAGGGTTTCTCAACGTTGGCATGATTGACATTTTGGACTGGATGATTGTTTTTTATGGGGGTCTTTCCTGTGCAGCGTAGGATGTTCATCAACATCTCTGGCTTCTAGATGCCCAGAAGGTCCTCTGCCCTAGTTATTGACAACCAAAAATATCTCCGGACATTGCCACATGCCCTTGAGGAGCAAACTCAGCTCTGGTCGAGAAGATTGCTCTACATGGTGGTTCTCACGTTGGAGCATGCGTCAGAATCACCTAGAATACATGTAAAACACAGACGGTTGGGTCTTCTCCCTAGCATTTCTGATGTAATAGGTCTGGGGTGGGGTTTGAGAATTTGCCTTTTTCTTAAGTTCCCAGGTGGTGCTGAAGCTGTTGGCCCGGGGACCACACTTTGAGAACTTCTGATCTATTATCTTATGCTTGCAAATAAACACATCGTTCCCTAAAATATGAAATCAACAATAAGATTGACATTTCCAGGACATGGAAATGTTGTGACCATAGATAATCAAGGTACATCTTGACAGTGGAGTTCAGGAGTTGAGAAACTGTGTTCTTAGACGAGATTGTAACACAGAGGCGAAATCTGTGATTTATGGATCAGAAGAAGATTTGGTTTACCTTTGCTCTAAACTTTTCTTAAGTTTAATATCACTAGAGAGATGACCAAAATGAAAGAAACAATCTCAAGAGAAATGATAAAGATGATAGCAATGCATCTTATTACTCTGTGATATGGATGTCCACCCATCTTTACTCAAACATTTTCCAATTGCTGGTTAAGCTTCCTGTGATAGATACAAATGTCCAGGGGCTATGTAAAAAAAAAAGCTATGCAAACTTCTTCACTTACTGCCACATAACTTTTAATAGTTCACCTAAATAGTTTTTGTTCAAATAGCAGAAAACTGCTAGAATTGATCCTGTACACCTTTCTGCAGATAGGCAAAAAAAAAAAAAAAAAGGAAATACATCATTATGGCCTGAATTTCAACAGATGGCTTATATATACTATTCCAGGTTTACCAGACATGATGCAGTTTTAGATCATCACTTTTGAGCACCAACCAGCCCCTGCTCTGTATGCCCTGCGCATTGTTTATTACAGCCAAGTGAATCCAGCGCGGAAATGATCTATCTCGCGCCAGCAAGCTACAAACAAAACCAATAGCCCTGTGCTGGCAACATTATTTTATTGTTGTCTCCTTGATCTCCTCTATTCTTTTGCAATTACTTTTATTAGTATTGCTCATTTGATGAGACCTTGGAGTTCGGAGCCAGATGGTGCCTTTAGTTATCTCTGGAAGATTCTAATGGAATTGAGTTCAAACCAGGCTAAGAGTAAGAGAATTACAAATCTCTTAGCATACTGCTTTGTGTACCTTTGGCACCACAGAAATTAGTGCAGGCTCCAAACGGGAAGCCCCGGATTAAGGTTCAGAGAGACCACGTGTGTTCCTATCTGGGATGCAGTGTAGCACAAACAAGACTGGGCATGCCTCCTGCCTCATGGAGACTGTAGTTTCCTAGAAGTGAAGGACAATAAGAAGCAAGCAAGCAAGACCACCAGGCATTGTGATAAGTGGCAGGAAGGGGGCAAGCGGAGATGATGTGGAGGGGTGCTCAAGAGTGCTCTCTGAAGAGGTGCTCGTTAAGCTGATGCCCGAATGATGGGAAGGGGCTGACTTGGGGAAAGCAAGAGAAATGCCATCACTGTCTGGTAGAAGGAATCGGGGAAAGGCTGTGGGATGGAAGTTGTTTTGTGTCCTCAAGGAACTGCAAGGACACCTGTATGACTGGAGCCTGGAGAGGGAAGGCGGGTGGCCCCAGATGAGGCCAGAAGCTACTGGACCCAGAGATGTTGCATGGAGCAAATGGACATTCGGACCCTGAGATTATCCAGGGATTTTTAATGACCTCTGTGGCAACGTGCTGATGAATAAGACCCATAGAAAGAATATCTTTGGGATCAGAGCAGTAAATATTCATGATCCAGCCAGTCTATGAAATCATCAGAAGCATGATTTTGACCCTTTGTGCAGAGGGCGGGCAAAACGGAGGCAATATTTTGATTAATCGCCTTGGCTCACGTGGTAGCGTTAATTTCATACTTGCATACCACACTTCTGCTAGGGCACACCGGTGGTGGTAATTCTACCCAGTGTCTCCTCTTTGTCCTTCCTGTTGGTAACAATGGCTGGTCTGCCTCTAACCAACATCCTGCCCCACACTGTGTCCCTAGTAAACGGCCACAGTCCCCTTCCCAGAGGTCTCCTTTCTGTTCTGTCTTCCTGGCCTTGGTCCCCTCCTCCCCTCTGGGTGCTTCTGCTTCTGTCAAGGCCCAGTTCAGACACCCACCTGGGAGTGAGGTCAGGAGGAGTGAGTGAACTGCCAAGAACTCTTACAGCAATGGATACTTCCCTTGCTGGCACTCATATTTGCCTTGTGTAAGCAGGGTGATCTAGATCATTCGTTCATTTAAGCTATTCTCTGGACCTGTTGCCTTATACATAACAGATGTGAGAAAGTATATATTGAATTCCATTCTTACTAGCATTTACCATTTATTGAGCAATTAATTGGTCAAGGGTTCTTCCAAGTGTTAGTGATTTAATCCTTATGTGATGGTTAATTTTATGAATCACCTTGGCCGTGGTGCCCAGATACTAGGTCGAACATTTCTTTCTAGATGTTTCTCCAAAAATACTTTCAAATGAGATTAACATTTTAATAAAGCAGATAGTCTCTATAAAATGTGGGTGGGCCTCATCCAATCAGTTGAAGGCATCAATAGACGGAAACTGACCTCCCTGGAGCAGGAAGGAATTGTGGCAGCAGACTGCCTTTGCTTTGAATTGCAACCCTCCTTGGGTCTCCCACCTGCTGGCCCACCTTGCAGATTCTGCCAATCCTCCACCATTGTGTGAGCCAATTCCTTAACACAAATCTCTCTCTCTCTGTCTCTGTCTCCCTCTGTTTGTCTGTCTGTCCCTCTAAACACCCTCTTGGTTCTGTTTCTCTGGAGAACTCCGATTAATAACACACTTTATATCTTACTATTTATGCCCATTTTACAGATGTGGAAGTTGAGGCATTAAGCACCATGCCCAAGGGCAGACACTTGAGGAGTGTGGAGCCAAGATTCCAGGCTAGGTCTTTCTGAGCCACAGCACCAGTACAGCTTCTCCTGCATGAACTTGAAGGATGAGAACACAGCGACCTGCTCATAACACACTATTTACTATAAATCATCTCTCCTTTTTAATATTCCCCAGGTGTGGTGGGCTTTCATAGCACGTGAGAATCATCAGCGCACAAACGCCTTATCATTCAGGTGAAGGGCAAAAATTTCCATTAGCAGAGAAGGCTGGTTGACGGCTACGTACACAGTGCTTGACCTATTTGGGCCCTATATATGAAGTCCTCTCCTTTATGATCATGATTTCCAAAAACATCTTGAAATAACCACGCAATTTTCACACACAGTTAACCACAAGATCTTCAGAAACACGAGAGAGAACTAAACACACAACAGTTTAAAATTCACGGTTTTGCTGAAAATAAGATTACATCTCCCCTCCCTTCTAAAAATGTCGTTAAAATAAAGAGAAATAGACAGTACATGTGGATGAAATTAAAATAGAGAAAAACAAACTGAGCACACAGAGTCCCGAGCCTCTTGATGTCTTTCGCCGTGGGCTAAAGTCCCATCTTGAGGTCAAAACTTCAAAAGTAGCCTCAAACTGGAACTTTTCCATAGGAAGAGCCAGCAGTGAATATTGACCCCAGGATCAATTGTTTCTGTTTAAGCTGTAGACGGCTCCAGTCAGAGAGAGCAAGCCAGGTCCCAGTTGATAAAGAGCTGCTTTCAGCTGGACTTGTCACCCCCAAACGCATAGGAACCATCTTGCTGCCTCTGAATTAAAATGATTCTTCCCAGAACGGAGAAGATGATGATGAAGATATTGATCGTGTTTGTGCTTGGAATGAACTACCCTTCTTGTGCAGGTAAGCAACTCAAAGACACGGGCCCCCTGCCCCAAATGCTGTGGCGCCGTGCTGGCCCTGTGCTTTGTCTCACTGTGTCGCCGTGTGCTTATGGGTCCAGGTTTCCCGGTGTATGACTATGACTCGTCCTCCTTGAGGGAAGCCCTCCGTGCGTCCGTGGCAAAAGTGAATTCCCAGTCCCTGAGCCCGTATCTGTTTCGGGCGTTCAGAAGCTCTGTAAAAAGAGTAAGTGCATATTATATCTTCTTGATTCCTCTTTATATGTACTGCTTTCTGTTATTTATTTTTTCTGTCTGTTGGGTACACTTTAAACACTTTTCCAGTTTAAAAAGATAATAGCTAGTCCTCTCTTTCGTACTGTTTTTGGACAGAGAAGGAATTTAATAACAGTTACTGTCCTAAGGCCCTCCAAGCCACTTTTGATGCAGGATTCTTCTGGAGTATCTACCCTCTGGCCTGGCTTCCCATTTCCAGATGTTGCCCTGCATGCACCCTGCTTCTGTATCCACAGCCCCCATGGTTCCTCTTGAGATGTTTTAGTAAGAGCTCGTTTATTAGAAATGAGGCTTTTTCGATTTCAGCAGTCTTGCTCCTCATACCTAGAGGCAATAAATTCTGGCTTTTAAGCCCAAGAAATCCCACCTTCCTTTGTCAATTTGGTAATGGTCTGTTTCCTGTTAGCTCGGGGCAATGTGAATTTTCTTGAGCTTCCAATGACTTGGTCTGTGATTGGCAAAGAAAGAAATGCAGAAATTTGCTTCAAAGGAAATGAGGAGCCTGGAGAGCGAGTCACCTTCCCCTCCTCCGTCTACAGGTGACTTCGAGGCTTACTCACTGTCCAGGCGCGGTAAGAACAGAAATTGCCCCAGGCTAGTGGGTGCTAAGATGGGAGGTGGGAGAGGTTCTGTAAACTCACAGGTCCTATGAATGAGAGTTCTGTGTAGCCAGGCTTCTTCAGAGCAGAACCAATAGACTGTGTGTATATATGTGCGTGTGTGTGTGTGTGTGTGTGTGTGTGAGAGAGAGAGAGAGAGAGAGATATGGGGGGAGAGGGAGGAGAATGAGTAAGAGATTTATCGTAAAGAATTGGTTTATACTATGTGGAGGTTTGGTAAATCCAAAATCTGTAGGGTGGGCTGACAGGTTGGAGGCCCAGAAAAGAACTGATTCTTGCAGTTCACGTCTGAAGGAAGTCTGCAGGCAGAATCCCTTCCCACTCAGGAAAAAGACAGTCTGTTCTATCCAGGCCTTCAACTGATTGCATGAGGCCCACCCACATTAAGGAGGATGAGCTGCTTTACTCAAATCCACCAGTTTAAAATGTTAGTCCCAGGGCACCTGGGTGGCTCAGTGGTTAAGTGTCTGCTTTCAGCTCAGGTCATGATCCCAGGGTCTTGGGGTGGAGTCCTGCGTCTGGCTCCCTGCTCAGTGGGGAGTCTGCTTCTCCCTCTGCCTCCCCCCATCTCTTGTGAATAAATAAATAAAATCTTTTTAAAAAAATAAAATGTTAGTCCCATCCAAAAAACACCTTTACAGAAATATCCAGAGTGTTTGACCAAATATCTGAGCATCGTGGCCCAGGCAAATTGACACATAAAATTAACCATTATAATCACCCGAAGGAATTTGTTATGGGTTTTTATTGCTCGGCCATTTTTGTTTCTTTTTGGAATAAATACCAAAATATGCTCATTATAAAATGTCAGAAAATATAACAAGAAAGAAAAAAGCAAAAATATTATCTATTATCCATTCCTCTGAGACATCCACTGTGAGCGTGTGGGATAAGGCCTTTTTGGATCCTTTCCATGTATTGGTATAAAACATGTTTTTAAAAAGAAAAACAGGAGCACAGTGTAACATCAATTATAAAGTCCCACAGTTTACTTCAGCAACAATGCTGGATTTGGGATTTTACCCAGTTGATTCCTTACTGTCAAGCATTTAGGTTGTCCCACCTTTTTCAAACAACACAGAGTGGAAATTAGCGGATTGAAAGTGAGTTTGGATGAAAAAGCAAAACCATTAGGCTTTTCTCCTTATTCTGAACAGAGTGTTTAAAGAAGCAAAGAAAAGTTGCAAATTCATCTCATAGTTCAATACAATTATCTGTACTCAAAAAAATCCCACATTTTCATCATTTTAACTAAGCCTTTGTCTTGTCAGTTTGTTTTCATTGGATTGCTTTGAGGGAAATTGCTGGAACACTATCTAGGTGGAGGGCCCCAACAAGCCCTCTGGCAGAGGGCTTTATTTTTTTATGAAGCTCAGATTTATTATCCAATATTTTAAAATTATGAGTAAATGCGGTAATAAATATTGTTGAGGCTGAAGTTTTAGTCTTACGTGTTTCCAGAAAACTTTACTTCTATGAGCACTCTTCCCCCGGTGTTAGAAGGGGACATGAAGGTCCCCCATCCCAGGCTTGGAGTTTGTCACTTATTTCCAAATGCAGTGTTCTACCTGTGCCCATCCTTCCCAACATGTGAGCGGTCTCTGTGCTCATGGAGGGTTCTCCCCACCCTCTCCTCACTGGGAAGTTGGTTGAATGTGTGCTGACTCAGCTTTGTCACAAGGTGGGCTCAAGGACTGAAAGGGACGAGAGTTTGGGACTTTGGGGGGTGTGGTCAGGTACTGGGCCATGGCAGCTCCTATCTGGCCTCCCTGCTGCCATCTTGTTCCTGCCGCAGTGTGGGCTCTTTGCAGCAGCCGTGGTGATTTATATCTTAGCTCTTAAATTCTTCTGAGAACTTCCCGTTGCAATGAGAATGAAATCTAAACACCGTCCCATGGGTGACAGGACCATAAATTACGTGACACACCCTGACTGTCACACATCATAGTGTATGGTTCTCCTCTCGTTCATTTGCTCCAGCCACAACAGCAGGACTTATTCTGCCCCAGGACATTGGCCCTGCTTTTTCCACACATGATGGGCTCTTTCCCATTCTGTAAGCCTCAGCGGCAAATATTTCTTCCTCGGGAGGATTTCTCTGGCACTTTCTCTACAGCAGCTACTTCCTCTTCTCCACCCCCATTACCATGTTGTTTGTTCCTTCATAACACCATAACCTTCTAGAACGACCTTGCTTACTTCTCTTTAAGGTGTTTACTGTGTGGCTGTATGTAATCTAAGCTGGAACCTAAGCTGCACGGAGTCTTCCCTGCTCTGCCTTTGGGGCTGGACACACTGTGGGCGCTCATTAAGTCACGGGACTTCCGTGTCATCAGAGCATCCAGATTCATCACGAAGTTTGGAAGTTTCCCCCAGTATCCCACCCTTGGTGGAAGGGAGTAGACAACTGTGTGAACTCATTTGTGGACCACAACTGATCAAACAGGAAGCAGGATGGGGTAGCACTGTACAGCAGAGATGTACTTATCACTTCATTTCTTATTTCAGGGATTATTAAGAAATTATGGGGACATTCTTTTAGGAAAATGACCCTTAAAAATACAGTTGAGGGCGCCTGGGTGGCTCAGTTGGTTAAGTGACTGCCTTCGGCTCAGGTCATGATCCTGGAGTCCCGGGATCGAGTCCCACATCGGGCTCCCTGCTCGGCGGGGAGTCTGCTTCTCTCTCTAACCCTACCCCCTCTTGCGCGCGCGCTCTCTCTCTCTCTAATAAATAAATTTAAAAAATCTTTAAAAAAAATACAGTTGATTCTCATTATTTGTGGTAGTTGTATTCTATAAAATCACCATGCACACTAAATTGGTACATTTGGAACCATTGCTCCTGGTCTAAATTAGTATATACTGAACGATTGCTCCTGGTCTAACACATGTGTTCTCTCATGTGGCACATCCAGATCTTCTGGTGCTTAGGAGCACGGACAGCACTCTAGGACTACACTTGGGGGCCATTTGAAACAATAAAATTACCAAGAAAAAAACCTCACAAAAATGAGAAAAACATGGTCTAAAATAAACCATGAAAGTGACACTTGTTTACAGTATGACAGCAGAAGCGAGAAGGCAGAGCGCTGCCTTGTCTGATCTCAGTTAGGAACATGTGCACAGGGCAACTCAAGTTCTTTGCCACTCTGCACTTGTCTGTGGATGACTGCAAAGGGACCCTGAATATTGATTTTGGGGATTATGAATACATTTTAGTGAGTAGGCACATTTGCAAAAATGGAATCTCTGACTCATGAAGATCAACTGTAAATTAAGTCATCAGAAGTAACATTGACCTTGCAGTTCAGACACCTAAGTTCTGGTTCCATTTTTTTAAATGAGGTATTATGCACCTTTAGAAAAGCACTTCTGGTCTCAGACTGAGGGGGTGGAACTGGGGATTGCTAAAACCACTTAACAGCTTTCACCATGAAGGAGTCTGTAACTTTGTCTCATTGTGCAGGGAGAAACATTTGTAGCGTTGTAAACTTCAGCATCTCACCAAGGCACACTGATGCTTTTTCTTTGTGAAGGTCAACGTTCTGGATCAGGACAGCTTGAACATGGACTTAGAGTTTGGCATTCGGGAGACAACATGCAGGAGAGATTCTGGAAAAGACCCCGCTACCTGTGACTTCCAAAGGGTCTACTACATGGTAAGTATGGCAGGAAACGCCATATCCCAGAAAGTAGCAGGACGAAGCGCCTCGCTTCTTCCGTGACCTGGAGCTGTTCCAAGTCATACGGAGACCTTGGCCCCTGCCTGGCATCTGGCCACACTGGGAGGCACGAGCTGTGTCCATACTGTGTTCCCCTGGGGAAGGGGCAGTGTGGCTCCGTGGTTGAGGACTTGGGCTCTAGAATTTGTGATCTTGACTGATCCTGGCAAATTATTTAAGCCCTGTTGCCTCAGTTTCCTGCTTCTTGAAATGGGTAGAATGATGGTTCCAGGCAAAGTGAATACAAAGAGGCCAATCCCAAAGGCAAATTCCAGAGATGTTTCAAATTCTGTTTTAAATGAATCTAAAATGCCAACTGTGCTCTTGGCGTGAGTTGCATTATTTTGTAGTTGACTGTTGTATGATATCTGCCCCCCCCCTCCTCACTGGCTTGGGCTCCATGGGGTGAGGACCATGGTGTGTTCAGTTTTGTATCCCCGGTGACCAGAGCAGGGCCCAACACTTGGTTACCATCCATGGGCAAGGGTCTGGGGGATCCGGTTTGTGCCACCATCCAACACTTGCTCTCCAGGGTGTTTGTGTTCAGATGTATGAGTTCTCGGGTTTTGTTACTTTATGAGTTTGTTACTTGATGAGTCACTTTATGTCAGGGTCCCTTCACAAGAGTGTAAATTCTGAAAAGGGAATCCTTTGTTTTGTTGTTTTCATGAGACTTTTCTCTGTGACTGTTTTATGAAGGACTCAAACCCAAGTGTCACAGCATCTGTTCCTAACAGAATCTGAGGTCAAAGTAGAGAACAAAGTCCTTTGGGTTCTTCCCACTTCCTTTTGCTCCATTGGGAAACTTCGGGGCAGCCCACTCCGTGCTCCTGGAGGAAATGGTTGCTCTCCTGGGGGAGTCGTGATACACCAAATGCCTAACAGATCTTTAAATATTTCATTTGTTTCTGCTTCAGTCTTGAGAAATTTTCATTTTGGAAACATGAAATGCCCCTGTGAATTTTTCCTTTCTGTTTGCATCGTTCTGGCAGGCCTTACAGCATTGCCTGACCTCTCACATAGGTCCTAACCCTTTCTATGAGCTGCTGAGGATTGAACTCAATGTGTTCTTTTCCAGCCCTCAGCTATTTGCAGAAGCACGGTGCGGTTGTCTGCCGAGCAGGTGCAGGACGTGTGGGTTCGCTGCCGCTGGTCCTCCAGCTCTGAGTCTAACAGCAGCGAAGAGGTAGGACCAGGGGCTTGGTGTCCTCCAGAACAGTCTGTGTGGGTCTGTGACAACCAGACTGGTGTGATAGAGTCACGGGAACATCACCCAGGCAGGGGCGAGTACAGCTCTGCTGACTCGGCTGGAGTCTCCCCTACTTCTCCAACCTCTTCTCTCTCTCTCCCACTCTGTCTTTATTTCCCAGAGATTTGGAAACAGAGAGCTTAAAGCAATAGTTGGCAAATCTTTAAAGATTTAGATCTAAGTATGCAGCTCCCTGGCCCTGTGGTTTAGTGGAGGGAAGGGGGAGGGGCATTTTTGTCGGACTAGTGTTCAAAACCATCCAGCAGCTCCGCAGTCTAGGTCAGGGCGCTTGACTCCATGATCTGCTGCTTCTTCATCTGTGAGATGCCAAAAGTAAAAGCCACCTGATAATGTAGAGAGAATTGAGTAAGTGGGTGGACAAGAAAGACCTGGTCCAGCATCTGGTCCACAAGAGATGCTTGGTGAATGGCAGGACCTGGCTTCCCCCACCCCAAATGTGTTGAAATTGATTTGCAATCATTCTGTAAAATTAACAATATGTAAATTTCCGACTTGAACATATAATACATGTTTATTTGTCTGTCTACTTATTAACTGCTTTTCTTACTAGAATGTATGTCTCCTGAGGGCAAAGAGTGTTAGTTTTTGTGGGTCTAGGACAATGTTTGATACAGGGTAAATGTTCAGTAAATGCTTGTTGAACGTAGGAAGAGAGGGTCAAGAATATGATATGAGGAGGAAACCTCTTGACTCCAACTAGGCATAAAAACATAATTGTTACATTATTTATTCAAGATGAGATAACATTTTTGACTGGTATTTTAAAATATTTCTACCATGCTACAGCTGGATCTGTCCAATGACAATCTTTCTCTACTCAGATTTTTATTCAGTTTTTCAAGATTTCATTCTGTAGGCAAAAATTACGTTAAAAGAGTAAAGGAAATTCACCTTCAATAATTCTATATAAAAATTAATGTTCTTATATTATGAATATACTCACACCTTAAATATTTCACGTGGAAGTCCATTGTAGGGTAGGACATGAGGAAGCTAATGGCTAGGAGCTCCCATGACAGGGGACAGTTTGACAGGTGCAGGACGACTAAGTCCAGGTGCTAGGACCTTCTCCACAGAAGTGTTTGATTGATCTCGTGCACACTGGCACCTTTGAGGATCAATCCACAGGTGGTTTCTGGGCTTTCCATGGAGCCATGGTTTCAGGATCTAGTTCCTGGGTGTTAGGGCAAGTACGAAGGGCCTCCTTTTCTAGACTCCACTGAAGCATCTAGGAAGTCAGGTGTGTTTCACACGCTCATGGCCTGGCTAATCCAGAAATGACAAGTACCAAGCACAGTGTTTCACAAACATTTTGTTCATATTGATTTTGTGGCTTATATGGGAACAGCCAGGGAGACAGTGAGGGGTGAGACAAGCAATCCTAGCTCCCGAGGAATTTGTAGACTAGTGGGGGGTCCATTCAGCAAGAGTGATCCTGACTACCAGGCCAGCATGTGGGGCACATGTCAAGAGGACAGAATCTCATCTGGGTGCAGGAGAGTTTCCCTGGGGGACCTGATGTTCACATCAAGAACTTCCATCAGGACAAAGAGGACAGGTATGCAGGGGAGGGAGGAAGAGTGACTCTAAACACAAGGGGATCATGAAAGAATTCACTGATGCATGAGAAGCTGGTTGGGTTGGAACGGACAGAAATCATTATGACCGCAATGAGCAAAATATGGGACAGAGGCATAAAGGTTGATCTGGAGAGGACGTCAGGATGGACCTCAGGGGTCATGTCTAGGATCTCTGGCTTCATTCTAATGGCAATAGGCCTATTGGATAAGAGCAGGAGAGGGCTCTAGGAAGCTGGAAGGACAGGTGAGGGAACACTAGCCAGTGCCAGGAGTTAGTAGTGAGTGTTGAGAAGTGGATTCTAGTTCATTCTATAACCTTTAACACATTGAACTGAATTCAGTAACTGCCCTCCCCCCATTTAACCCCTCTTCCATCTCTGATTTGGGAAGTTGATTCTGATCGCATAGCCCACAAATCTGTTGCAACTTTCTCATTGCTTAGTGAGGACTATGCACTTTTCTTCCAATCCGAATTTTGTAAGAAGAGTCTGACATTAAGTTAAATTGGCCCTTGAAACAAACAATATTTTAAAATAAACTCTCAGGTGGATGTTCCTCAAAGATTAGGAAATTGTAAAGAATTACAAGCAAATTAAAAAAAAAGAATTCCTTAAATTAAAGAATGCTGTAATTCAAAGGAAGAAGAAGAAAGCAGATGGAGATTTCAAGTAATTCCTGGAAACTCTGACATAAATTTCTTATACGAAACAGAAAAAAAAAAAAAGAAAAGAAAACAGCTGTTAACCATTTTCAGTGAAATAAGCAGTGATATTACAAACATAAAAGAGAATAGACTAGGATGAATTTAGTCATCAAACAAGTAAATCATTGTTGGAAGTAGGAAATGGAAGAAATAAAAAAAAAAATCCTGGAGTAGTGAAAATGAAGATCATTTGAAAAACATATGTAGGTTCTAGAAAAATTTCCAGGGAAAGGAACTTAATGTGAAGAAAGGTGTAAGCCATGGAGAATAAGACTAAAAATCCAAAATATGAAGAATAAGGACTTCGATCAAATGGGAAGTATCTCCTAAGGATATAATGCGAGAAATTGCTGCATATACGAAGTTTGGATTTTTCCCTACATGATTTTTATTTTTATTTATTTATTTATTTATTTAAAGATTTTATTTATTTATTTGACAGAGAGACAGCGAGAGAGGGAACACAAGAAGGGGGAGTGGGAGTGGGAGAAGCAGGCCTCCCGCCGAGCAGGGAGCCCGATGCGGGGCTCGATCCCAGGACCCCGGGATCATGACCTGAGCCAAAGGCAGACGCTTAACAACTGAGCCACCCAGGCGCTCCCCTTTACATGATATTTAAAAGGATAAAAGCTGTAAGGAAATTTGAGGAAAAAAGTTTCTAAATTTGCTAATATCCTTCTCTCCTTAACCAAATACATATCTGTGTTGAGGGTAGTTTCCACTATATGTGTTATTTTTGAAAGTGAAATAGAGGCTAAAGGGCTCTGGACAGGACAGGAGCACGCAGCCAAACACTTTGTCGTTTCATCCCCATCCAGAGTGTGATGCTAACACCTATAGGTTGACGAGTGAACTTGACTTTTGACAAACCCTGGTTTCGAGTAGATGGGATGAGATCTGGCTAAGGCTTTAGCAAAGAGACCTAGAAACAGTCCAAAGGGAGAAAGAGGAAGCAGAACTAATACGGAATTCTGAGCTCAGGGAAGGGGAGGTGACAGGCATTTGATTTACTTACTGCGTTCCATTTCCAATGATAGAAATTCAACTGCAAGTCGCCTAAGCTCCAGTGGGGTAAGTCCCTGGATCACGTTCCCAGAAAGGACTGGAAAGAGTTGGCCTCAAGGACCAGTTAATTTAGGAGCGTTCAACACCACCTGTGCCACATTTATTTCTCCCCCTCTGTCCCCCTCCCTCCCCCTCCCCCTCTGCCCTGCCCCACCCCACCCCCTTCTCCTCTCCCTCTCTTACTGCAGATGAACTTTCTCCTTGTAGCAGGAAGCAGGGTCACAATGTACTCCAGATTCAGATCCTTTAAACTTAGGAGGAAAAGGGAGCATTTCTCTCTTGCTCTACTGGAGATGCCTCTTGACATGATTCCCGTTGGCCTGGCTTTGGTCATGTGATCCCCCTTCCCCCCGCCACCTTTTATAAATTACACCTTTATTGGGTCATAATCCACATAGTATATAACTCACCCTTACAATGTGTCCAGTTCAGTGGTTTTTAGTATATTCATAAGGTGGTACAATGGTCACCACTATCTAAATCCAGAACGTTTTCATCTCCTCGAAAAGACACCTCACCCCCAAGAGCCCCCATTGTGTGTTCCTCATTCCTCCAGCCCCCAGCAACCACTCATCTACTGTCTGGCTCTACAGATTTGCCTATTCTGGCCATTTCGATATAAATGGAATTAGGTATCCTTTTGTGACTGGCTTATCTCACTGAGTATCATGTTCATACCTGTTGTAGGATGTATTGGAACTTTGTTCCTCTTTAGTGTTTGTACGGATATACTATGTTTGATCTATCCATTCATCAGTTGATCAACATTTGGGTTCCTTCAACTTTTTGGCTATTACAAATAATGATGCAGTGAGCATTCACGTGCGAGTTTTTGTGTGGACTTATGTTGTTATGGCTTTCAGTGGCTTCCTGAAGACTACTTGTGCAAGCCTTTTCCAAACTGAACACATTATGGGAACTTCATAGACAGGAAACCTCCACATCTGATCTAAATGCAGTCTATTTGCAAGTCCACATAAAAGGTTCCATCTTTCTGGTCCCTAATATTTGGGAGCACATTCTGAGTCCAGTGGAAAACTTTTTAGGCAATTTAAACTTCATGTAAGTTACTCTTTCCATGTGCTTTCTTAGACACACGTTTGACTCCATGTAAAATTATTTAATAAAATATGTTGCCTTATTTCATTAACAATGAATTATGTAATGCATCAGAGTCCTCCAGATAATATTTGCATATTTTACAGTGTCTCCTTCTTTCTTTCATGTGTTGATATATCCCGATGCCTACATTGATTTAGATGTTTTTGGGGGACATATTGGGATCCTCTAGATGGAGAAACAACTACCCACTTGGTAAGTTGAGATCTGTTCTTTTTAATGATTTTTTTTCTTGAAACAACTTCATATTAAAGCTCTGTTAGTGAGTCATTTAAAACTGGAAACATCGATACATAACTTTTGAACATTATACTAATTCCAGAAAATAAACATTTTCTTTTATTTTTGTTCCTTTCTTTTTTTTTGACCTTTTTAAAAAAAATTTCAATTAGCCAACATATAGTACATCATTAGTTTTTGATGTAGTGTTCAATCATTCATTAGTTGTGTATAATACTCAGTGCTCATCACATCACGTGCCCTCCTTAATGCCCATCACCCAGTTACCCCATCCCCCCACCCACCTCCCCTTCCACAACCCTCAGTTTGTTTCCCAGAGTCAAGAGTCTCTCATGGCTTGTCTCCCTCTGATGACTTCCCATTCAGTTTTCCCTCTCTTCCTGTATGATCCTCTGCGCTATTTCTTATATTCCACATATGAATGAAACCATATGATAATTGTCTTTCTCTGATTGACTTATTTCGCTTAGCATAATCCCCTCCAGTTCCATCCAAGTTGATGCAAATTGTGGGTATTCATCCTTTCTGATGGCTGAGTAATATTCCATTGTATATTTGAACCACATCTTCTTTATCCATTCATTTGTTGAAGGGCATCTCGGCTCCTTCCACAGTTTGGCTATTGTGGACATTGCTGCTATGAACATTGGGGTGCATGTGCCCCTTCTTTTCACTACATCTGTATCTTTGAGGTAAATACCCAGTAGTGCAATTGCTGGGTCATATGGTAGCTCTATTTTCAACTTTTTGAGGAACCTCCATACTGTTTTCCAGAGTGGCTGCACCAGCTTGCATTCCCACCAACAATGTAAGGGGATTCCCCTTTCTCCACATCCAAGCCAACATTTGTTTTTCCCTGTCTTATTAATTTTAGCCATTCTAACTGGTGTGAGGTGGTATCTCATTGTGGTTTTGATTTGTATTTCCCTGATGACAAGTGATGTGGAGCATATTTTCATGTGTCTGTTGGCCATTTGTATGTCTTCTTTGGAGAAGAGTCAGTTCATGTCCTCTGCTCATTTCTTGACTGGATTATTTGTTTTTGTTCCTTTCTTTCCATTAGGCAACAAAGATACAACTTATCATTTAGGTATCCCTTTATATTTATACAGAGATTTTCCATACATGATTCCATCTGATGGCCCCATGTGTCAAATAAACAGGGTGGATGTTGGATTACATCTTGAGAGGGTCCCCTAACTCGAACATGCTTGTTTCATCCTGGGTGCACAGCCCAACTTACAGGGCCCAGGTGTGCAATAACGTGTGGCTGGACTGTCTAGACGAAAGCTCATCTAGTGATTGAGGTTGAATTCTGTTATCTTCCAGCCATGTGATGAGAGCTAACCATTGCTTTAAGTGGCTGGTTTGGGGGAGAGGGGGCCCTCCTTTCTTTCCTTGTTGTGTGGCCTCTCATTTGAAGTGGGATTGGGTTAGGAGACATTTTTACTTTCCTGAGGTTTTTCCCTATTGGTGCTGATGGCAGCAAAACTGTTTGGTGATCTTCCATTGCTTCCTTGCTTAAGAGGTATATTGGGGGCATCAATAATAAGATCACGGAACATTCTGGAGTGGAGAGAAGGGCCTTGCCTTATGACTGTTCCTATATTACAGGTTTCAGTTCTGATAAATCCAGAAGTGAATTGTATGAGCGGTCACTTGGTAAATAGTCCTACTTTCTTCCATACGACACCAACAGACGCTTTCGGATCAAACCAGAGTCTGCTGAAACGATTTCATAGTAGATTAACCCCTGAAATACGAACTATTTTAAATGAAAATGAAGAGAACAGTACTGCATAAACTTGCTTTGCAAATCACTGAAACGGTAAACTTGAGGCATCACAACTCACTTAAACGTTAGCAGGAATCAAAATAGCAAATCTGGTTCAGGATATCAGCGTTGACCTTTCCTCCTGCCTCACTTTGGGGCATTTTCTGAAAAAGCTCAAACTCTCTTGAACCCCTCGTTGCCCTCCACCCTCAACGGTACTTTGGGACCAGCAAGTGAAGTTAGAGGTAATATAGTTCCTCCCTTTTACAGATCAGTTTCCCTCTCATTTAATTTTCAGCATAGATCTGTGAACCACGTGTCCTATGACCTGCTTCTATAGAAGAAATGAACAATAACTCTTGGTGTTTATATCATACACAAGACACTTAACTCTGCTAATTGCTTGACACAGCTTTCTCTTCACAACCATCCTGTGAGGCAGCACTGTGTTCCTTCCCATTTTGTAAATGAGCAAACTGAGGCTTAGTGAGTATCTGTAGTGTGTCCAAGGCTACACGGCCAACATGGGACTTGGATCCAGGTTGTGAGTGGCAGAGATAGGACTTTGATACAGACCTGTCACACACTCCAGCTTTTGTTTTTTGCAATGCCGTCTTCCCGAAGAGTTGTGAATTTCACCCTATTTTGGAGTTCCTCATTAAAATGAATAACACAGATATTAATATTTCATTGAGCTCAATGTTTGATCCTCACTAGGCATACTATAATTTATTTGAAGTGCTGGGGCTTATAATCTGAGGCTTGATTTATTTTTTATTTTTTTTAACTTATTTTTTATAAGATTTTATTTATTTATTTATGAGAGAGAGAGAGAGAGATATCAAGAGCAGGGAGGAGGGGTGGAGAGAGAATCCCAAGCAGACTCTGAGCTGAGCCCAGAGTCTGATGTGGGGCTGGATCTCACCACCCTGAGATTGTGACCTGAGCCGAAACCAAGAGTCAGATGCTTAACTGACTGAGCCACCCAGGTGCCCCCTGAGGCTTGATTTAAAACAAAAAGATTTTAGACACCCTCTGAGTTGTCGCTTTGGGAGAAGATACAGTTATTCAAACAGTGTGACCATTGATGGGGACATTTTTGAATATTTCTTTTTTGGCATTGCCTTCAGAATCTATGGCCCATTCTTTTGAATCACTGTAGTGGTGGAAAATATTTTTCCTTGGATTTGATTTTGGAAATAGCCAAAATAAATGTGATTAATCAAATTAACAACCAACTTGGGTGCATTAGTTGTATATTGCTATGTGTGAATTATCCCCAAACTTAGCAGTTTAGAATAACGAACATTTGCTATATTACAGTTTCTGAAGGTCAGGAACCCACAGGCAGCTTAACCGAGTGGTTTTGACTCAGTCTCTAAAAACGTTGCAGATAAGATGTTGTCTGGGGCTGCGATCTCATTTGAAGGCTTGACTGGGTCTGAAAGATCCACTTCCAAGATCATTCATGTTTGTTGGCAGGCCTCAGCTCTTCATGGGCTCTCGGACTGAGGGCTTCAGTTCCACCCCCTGTGGGCCTTTCCATAGGGTTGTCTGAATGTCTTCAAAACATGACAGTTGGCTTCCCCCAGAGACAATGATGAGAGAGAGAAAGAGAGAGAGAGGGAGAGGGAATGAGCAAGACACAGAGCACCCAAGACAGAAGACACAGTCTTTTGTTACCTAATTTTGGAATTTGTGTATTATCCCTACTATGTATTTTATTAGTCACACAGACCAGCTCTGGTCCAGTGTGGGAGGGGAATACCTGAGTGTGAATACAGGAGGCCATCTTGGAGGCTGGCTACTGCATTGGGAAAATGCCATTTGGGACCAAAAATATTTTATGGATATAAATTAATGTGACTGATCCTTTTTATATGGCTCAGAAGGTAATTCCAGAGCTGAATTTTAAAAACATTTTGGGCCTTGGGAACATCATGGATGCAGCTATGCAGCCATCTCAGAGACTTCTTCGAAGACAACAATTTAATTTATTTCACCAAATGTGTGTCACAAGCACTGGGCAGGTCTCATGGAGGACTGAAAGGCAAATATGACAGTCCCTGCTCTCGAGGCTTATAGTTGTGGCTGGGACAGATCACACATGGAGAGAAATAAGCATGGGTTCAGCTGTGACATCACACAGGGGAGGGTGAGGAAGAGCCAGGTAAGGAAGACAGAACTGTCCTGTTCTTGGGCATCTCTCATCAGTGTGGGTCTGGTTATGCTAGTCACACCTCTTCCCACTGTTCATAGTTGCGGGGTCCACATTGTCTCAGACCTTGGTGTGAATGACAGAACCTATATGTCCTTTCATCTGTAGAGAGCCTGAGAGGGATCTTCCCTCCTGGGAATCGAGGGGACCCGAACAAGTGGCGCAGACTTCAAGAATAAATGCTGGCTTTGAGTAATGGCCTCAAGGTAAGGGGATGCAATTAAAAATGTGTACTTAAAAATAGAAGCTGCTTGGAGTGAGTGCCTTCACACTGCTGCCCTCATGCCCTCAAATGTCTAACTCTGCCACTCAGCTCTCATCTTTGCTCACCTTCCCACTGCCTGGTCTCCTCCCAGACTCTGTCCCTCAGTCGTCTCTCCCATCCCACACACCTTGAGCTTTCTCCTGTGGCTTTTGTATTTGTCACCAGTGACATGATCAAGTGTCCAGTTGAAGAGCAAACAGACAGACAGAACAGCCCCTCCTTTGACGCTCCCCTATCCCAGCAACTGCCCTCCCTCCCTCCTTGTGCACTGAGCTTCTCCACACAGTCGTGGTCTTTGGCTGCTGCCCCACCTTGCTCACCTCCCATTCGTGGTCTACTTTTTTCACCCTGGACTTTCAGGCCTCAGATCCATGAAATCAGATTTGCCTTCCTTTCCTCAATCAATAATTTAAATACTGGTGACCACTTGTGTTATGTCCTTAGCCTACCCCCTCCTTCCACAGATTGCTCTGTCTTCTCTTCCACCTACCCGACTTCATCAATGATCTGCAATTATTTCCGAGCACACATCTCTTACCAGGCTCTGTCCTGAGATCCAGGCTCACTGGATGCAGTTGCTATGGGTACCTGTGACCGCCTGGAACTCACCCGGCCCCTTCTTCAACTGCCTTTCTTAATTGAGGGAGTCACCATCCATCTAATTTACTCAAGCTCAAAATTTGAGAGCATCATTGACTCTTCTTTCCCCTTTCTCTTCTCCCCACATCCACGGGGGTCCAGTCTTATTGATCTTGGCCACACATTCTCTCTGGCTTTGGCCAATCATTTCAGTACCATCACCACTGACCAGTGCATACATTCTTGCCCCAGGTCCTGATCTCATGCTGTCCACCTTACATGCTATCCTCAAGCTTATCTTGAAACACAAGAGGAGTCTCTGATCCTTTCCACATAAACCCCCTAATGCTCGCTTCATTTGGGGATAAAGCAGAGGTATGCAAAAGGCAGACACTAAGCCAAAAGGAAGAACAGTCTATATGCCCCTAGTGTGGTGGGGAGCTGAAGACTGAGCCCTGGTTTACCAAACCTGCACTGAGTATCACCGAGTATATGAATTCCCAGTTACTAGGGATTGAAGCAGATGTAACTAAGTCTTTCTAAAGGTTCCCAAGTAGTAAGGGGACACTTGAAAGTAGAAAGGGCACACTTGAAAAGAATCTTCAGATGCAATTATAGACATCGATTCAATGCACATTCATTTTTACCCCCCCCCCCCACGTTAATAACAAAGCTTGAGCCTTCACAGACTTTAGTTTGCATAACACTGTATACCATCAGGATAAAGTCTGAGCTCCTTAGCATGGCCCACAAAGGCCTTGGTGATCTGGCCCCTGCCCACTTCTCCTGCTCTGCCTCGATCCTAAGCTCCAGCAGTACTGAGATCCCATAGCTTGTCCTGCTGAGACCTCTGCATGGAAGAGCCACCTGGCTAATCTCTCCTCACCAGTCAGGTCTCATGGGAGGTCTACTCTGACCCCTTTCCCATTGTCTTCATCACAGAGCTTGCAGTTGCTCATCTCCTCTCTGTCCCACCAGGCTGCACCAGACTCCCTATGTGCAGGGCGCAGGCACATCACATGCTACCATCACCTAGTGCCCTGCACAGAGCCTGGCGCCCAGCAAACACTCGGCAACTATTTTTGAGTGGATGACGGAATCCTTCACTTTAGGTTCCTGAGACTGTCATTAAAAAAAAAAATCAGTTAAGCATAGTATAATTAATTTTCAACCACTGGAATTTGAAAGAAGTCAACTGTCATTTTACAAAAATAGAAGGAAAATTTACCAGCGAGGCTGTATTGGATGAAAGATGCAAATGGTAGGTTTTCTTTTTAATCTATGTGCCTCCTAAAAATAAACACCGGCTTCATATGGAGATCTAGAAGCTACTCATTATGAAGAAATGGACTCATCGTATTCCTTTTTTACAAATTTAAATCATTTCCTTTTGCTTTATAGAGCATCCTCAGGGGCAAAATAGAATTCTCAATGAACTGTCTGTATTTCATTTATTTATAATATGATTATATTGGGCATATTCACATACATGGATTGCAATATAGATTATTGATTTGATTTCTATAACAAAATTGATTGCTTACCAACTGTGTCTTTAAAGGCAGTGCCCATGAAAGGCTCGACAAAGCCACCCTCACCTGGACATCGACTTTGACTTAAGTCCCAGTTCTGTCCCTGCACTCCTGCGACCTTCAGATTTCCCCACTGGGCTCCGAATTTCCTAGAATCCCAAAATGAGCCTGGGAAGGCCAGCACAGGGACTGGAGTCAGAGGACCTGGCTCCAGGCCTGCTCTGCCACCAGGAGCTGGGAGATCGTGCTCCAGTCTCTTCGCCTCTCGGCTCACTTCCTTCAAAGGTTTATTATTATTTTCGTACTTGTTTTTGTTCCCGCTAGACCGTGAACTCCTTGGGGATGCATGGCCTCGTCATCCTTATTAATTATTTTAGTTTACTACTATAAAGTTAAGAACAATGTCTAGAACATAATAAGGGTTCAATCAGGTTGGAAGGAAGGAAGGAAGAAACACATGCATGACCCAAATCAGGATGACTGTGTTCAAGTTGTGGATGACATTTATCTGGGGGGGAGCTCCCCGAAGACGGAAGCTTTGGTTCAGGGAGCACGGAACCCTCAGAGCCTGGCTTAATAGGGGGGCTGAGTAAGTATTTTTGTAATTTAATAAACACTTGTTCTAGGATTCTTTCAGGTTGCTAAAAAATCATTTCATAGATAGGAGTAGATAGCGAAAGGTAGTATTTCAACACGAGCTTTGGAATTTTTTCTTTCTTTCTTTCTTTTTTTTTTTATTTCTAATGTCTTCATTATCATTTTCCCAATAGCAAGCACCGCCTAGCCTCCTGCTGGGGGAGGATAAGGACTCTCTTGAGAAAGGCAAAACAAATATGAATGTGACTCCAATCTTGTCTGCAGTCCTCATGCCCTACCCTGAAGCCAAAAGACAATCTATTATCAGAGGCTCTGATTTCATGGGCTCAAGGCAGAGTATCTGCTCCCTCTGTCTTTCCGTTGAAAGTCCATCTTGTAGGGGAGTGAAGGGCCCACCAGCTTTGGAATATTTTCTTATCTGCTACTCTAACACAGGGGCCATGAAGATCAGGTCCCAACTCTCACGCTGTAAGGGATCTATCTGAGCATCTAGCCCTTGCATGATCTTTATAGCTGGACTAGTTCACACTCTCTAATTATGCAGTGGCCAGACGACCACAAACCACACAGAGTGCACCCAAACCACAGCGGCATGAGTGAGGCGTTTTCCTTTGCGTTGCAGTGTCATTCCTGTGGACCCCTGAAACTCTGCCCAGAGCAGCAAAGCAGGCTGTTGCTAGTGAGGCCTGAGGTGGACAGCTGCATGCTGAGAAGGGTCAGTCTCACGAGTTTGTCAGTTTGCTCAACAAATGTGTCTGGGCCCTGCACCAGGGAAGATCAGAACTCTCAGGGGTGCCTGGGTCTGTGTTTGGACCCATCCCGTGCACTGCCTTTTATAAATCTTGCAACAACTCCTGTGAAGTTTCGTCATTATTTCTCTGTTTTGTAGATGAGGAAGCGGGGGTATCAGAGGCTCTTGTTCTCAGAGGCAGTGTTGAGATTGGGATTTTAAAGATTTTTTTAAACTTGTTTATTTGAGAGAGAGAGAGAGCAGGAGTGGGGTGAGGGGCAGAGGGAGAAGCATTCTCCCCGCTGATCAGGGAGCCCAACACGGGGCTTAATCCCGGGACCCTGAGATCATAACCTGAGCTGAAGGCAGGCACTTAACCGACTGAGCCACCCAGGTGCCTCCAAGATTGGGATTTTAGCTACAGACATCTGTCTGTCTTTCTTTCCCTGCCCTGTGACACTCTACCTCATGTCAGTATCTCCAAGTTTAAGAAACAGCAGGAGGGGGCAAAAGCCCAAGGATTATTTTTTTTTTTTAAAGATTTTATTTATTTATTTGAGAGAGGGGGAGGGGCAGCGGGAGAGGGACAAGCAGACTCCCCACTGAGCACAGAGCCCCCAGCACAGTGTTTGATTCAAGACCCCGAGGTCAAGACCTGAGCTGAAGCCAGATGCTTAATGAACTGAGTCACCCATGCACCCCAAAAGCCCAAGGATTATTTATATCTGTCACCTGTTGGGTGAAGCTAGGTAGGCAGCTGCCAGCTGGAAGTCAAAGACTAGTTACCTGGAAGCGTTAACACACACCTACCTATCATCAGCTAGCTAGGAGGGGTGACCCCACAATGTGGGCCCCTAAGTGAGCTGGCTGAGTGATTTCCATATTTGGGTGTCAGACCCATGAATGACAACTTGTTGTCATGATCTCCCATGGCTGCCCCCCCTCACTGGGAGAGCCAGGACCCCCCCCCCCCCCGCCGCCCAACGTCTGAGCTAGAAAAGTCCAGCCAGTGCTCGGGAGGTGGAAAGCCAGCCGTGTGGGACTCTGTCCACTTACACTTCGCTCTGATGCTCCTTCACTGAGCATACCTGAAGGAGGAAGGACAGTTCACTCTCATATCTTGGCAGTTATGATCTGCAAAGTTGCTGCCAACACCGAATTAGCGAATACTGAGCCGTTGCTCCTGTGGGAAGTAAGGGTGAGGCTCCCGTGAGCCTCTGGTCACCTTTTGTCAACAGGTCAGCACACGACCTTGTTTTATGTGTGTTTCTGTTGAAAGGCACCTTATTTAACATCCACTATTGGTTCATATCAAACTCACGGTCAACAGCACTATACCTCAGGCCTGAACCACGCTCCTCGAACACACACGTATTCCCCGTGAGGCACGCCAGAGCCTTCTGTGCTTAACAGTCCTAGACACCACCTCGGCACCATGCGGAGGCGCCACTGGGAACAGCGAAATCACCAACAAAAAGCACCAAGATGCCCAAAGTATGGCCCTAAATGGTCTGCAAGAAGGACACTTGTTTACAGTATGAGCTGAAATAAGGAGGCAGAGCATCACCTTGTTTGACCTTGGCTGGCAACATGCAGTGCTGCATCCCAGGACCTCTCTCCACTGGTTCTGCCCTGCTCTCCATCCGCCTCCTGGTGCCTCCAGCCCCTTTGCCCACTGAACTTTGTGGCTGCATTTGGTGCTTCTTTCCTGGCTCTCCTCCTAGCCACGTCTTCTCTCTGTTCTGCACGGATCTCTCTTCTTCCTCCTGCGCCCCAAATGGGGGTGGTCCCCGGAACTCCAGCCTTGGCTCTTCCTCTACTCACGGTCTTCTCTTTCCCAGTGATCCCAGGCACCCCTGGCACTTTGATGCCCATCCGTCGGGGGGAGGGCATTCCACCCTCCTTTCCCATGGTCTGCCCTAGCCAACAGCATGCCAGACGCCTCCATCTGGATATACGGACACATGCTCAAACCAGAATTCTTCCCTTCAGGATTAGTCTTCCTCCTGTAACCAACCCATCTTCCTGGTCACGCAGATCTGAAACAGAATCCTCTCGGACCTCCTCCCTGCCCTCATCTGCCCAGCCACTGCATTCTGCTGTCTTCCTCTGAAGAGTTTCCCAGCTCTGTCCCTTTGCTAGCCTGGTGTAGTCAGCATCTTCCTGATGGTCCCATCTTGCTCCCCTCAAGGTCACCTCCACGTGTCATCAGAGTGATGTTAACACTGGTGGGGTTGGGAGTGGGGTCTAAACTCTCTAGTGGAGGAATCGGGCCCTCTGCACGGTGGTGTGGTCTGTGTCTGCGTCCCCTGCTTCTCTCTGCCTCCACCTGACGTGGAGAGTCACATGGCTGATTGTTGCCCCGGGCCCCCAGGCTGGCTCTGACCTCCCTTCCCAGGTCCCTGCTGCTGTGCTCCAACACCCCACCCCAGCTTGTCCTCGGGGTCTAGCTCACATGTCTTCTCCAGGAACCCCTCTCCTCGGCATCTCCTGCACGCGAGTATCCCTGGAATTACATTTACCATACTGTACTCTAGTCTCTTATGGCTTCTTTATGGTTGATGATTTCTTCCCCCCTCCCTACTTCTTTCCTTCCTTCCTTCCTTCCTTCCTTCCTTCCTTCCTTCCTTCCTTCCTTCCTTCCTTCCTTCCTTCCTTTGATAGAGGCTACACCTTATTTATGTTTATAATCCCCAATACTTAATGCATACATGTTTATTGGACAGATGAATGGATGAATAAATGAATGAATGAATACTCCCATCTTCAGCCCCATACCCACAGATGGCCGTAGCTGAGGTCTGTCTACCCCTTTACCAGCTCAGGTGGCTCTGTCTTTCCTGGCTGCAGCTTTGGCTCAGGGCCCCTCTGGCCCTTCCTTTTTTGAAACTTGAGTTTCCTTTCTGGGGCGACCTCCCCTTCCCCTGCAGGTATCTCTTACCTCCTTTCTTTGTTCAAGGAGCTGGCCACTTCGCATAGTTGCTCCAGACTCTAGTGCCCCCTTGGATTCCCTTTGAATACACCCAGGAGTGCTGGGTCCTGTGTCTCCATAGCAAGAATGTGGAATGCATGCCATGGAGTCTAATCGCCCCCCTCTCTCTTTTCACAGCAAAATGCATCGGGAAGAATAGAAGTGCCAGTGAAGAAAGATACTTTATGAATTGTGTGATTTTTCTTTTGATCGGTTCCAGTCCTTAATAAATGCTTTACTCTTCCTCTTTTTTCATTGCCTGATTAAATAAAAAAAAGGTATAACTATCAAATTTTTAGATAAGAAGCAATGACATGAGGAGATTAATATTACCTAAGGATTTTAGGAGCTAAGAACTCACAAAGTGGCCATGCTTAGCATAATGATGTCAAATGCATGTTTTAGATCAACATGCAATGATTGTAAATTCCTTATTTTTAAAAAGACTATCAGTCCAGACAGCTTGGTGTCAAGAGTGTCTTTCCTTTTGTGACTTATTTTAATTAAAAAATAATAAATCATCTGGTGAATTAGGGATGAAAGGCAGTCGCCTCCCCATCACCAAAATGTCTCTGTGGATTCTTTTTCTCTAGACTTCTCAGTCCAGGGCATCAATATAGCAAAGCCAGCTTTCTGTCAAAACAGATATTGCCAAGAAAGTACCCAAGGACAGAGGTCTGTGTTCCCAGGCCGCTTGGCAAATGCCTCAGTTAGGGGACGCTCTTGGAGCCTGGCCCTTCTGCAGCAGGTCCTGGGAGGATTATAGGATGTGAGAATCTACAAATCCAATGCAGTCCCTTTCCGGCAAGACTGAAACCCTTGTCAGATCCCCCTGGCTTTCCACGAAGACGTCACAAGCTCCTGAAAACTATTTCCTGAATGGATGATACACTAAAGACGTTATTGGTTATTTGCACCTTCATTTACAGGGTGCTGGGTATTAAAGAGGGCACTTGTGATGAGTACTGGGTGTTATACACAACTAATGATTTATTGAATACTACATCAAAAACTAATGATGTACTATACAATGGCTAACTGAACATAATAAAAAAATAAAAATATATATATATAAAAAGGAGTGGACTGCTTACTCCTCCTCCCGTAGCAAACTGCCCCACTTCCTACAGCTTCTCAGCATCTGCTGAGGCTAGAAAGTGCCTTGCCCCCCATCTTCTCTATTTTTCCTGGATATTCTCATATGCTTATTTTATTTCCACTTTAAGATCAGCATGTCAAGGCATGAAAAAAAATTCTGTTGGTATTTGAAATCAATTACACCAAGGTTCCATGGTGTAATGATGAGCAGTCTGGACTCTGAAATCAATTACACCAAATTTGTAGCTTGTTTTTTGACATCTTTCGACTTCTGAGTTTTATTCTGTGAGAATAAGCCATACGTTTCCACTTACCGAAGTCTACTTATGTGACCCTTAATAGAGTTTAAGAGGGTTTTTTTGTGATAAGAGATGTGTTTGTCATATTTTGTAAAAAAATGTTTACTGGTATTTTCTTTTTGTTATTATAAATGAGATCTTCTGTTGTTCTATCTTATAATATAAACTTCACTAATATATGTTAAGTTTTTAGTCTATCTTCAACAATTTTCATATTGTTTTTAGTAGGTTTTTCAGTTGCTATTCCAGAGTATTTCAGGTATACCATATAACTTTTGCTAATAATATTAATTTTGCATCCCCCTCGTCATTTTTCAGGGTCATTTCTTTCTTTTTCTTACTTCCTTTGAGTATATTCCAACTGGGTTAGACCACAACACTACGGTGATAAGGATCCTGTCTTAGTCCTCACTTTGATAGCGTCCTGAGAAGCATTTCAGTGTTGCACCCTTAAGCGCCATGCTGCCTCCTGGTCTGGTGTAAGTGGTATTTATATTTTCAATCCTATTCAGGTTGCATCCATCCTTCCACTGTTAAGAGTTTAGAACATAAATGTATATGGAGCTTTCTCAAACATCTTTTGAAATTTTTCTTTTGTGAATTTAAAGTTGGAGATTTGGAATTTGTCTTTCTTCTTTGTTAACAAAGCATGGTGAATCACTTTAATATATTGCCTAAATTGAACCATCTTTGCATTCCTGGAACAACCCCACTTGGCCGTGGTTTACTATTCTTTAAATATGCTGCCGGATGCCAGCTGCTTCACTGAGGATGTTCGTATCACCTTTCATACGTGAGAGTGATCTGTAGTCTCTTTTTTGTGCTGTTGCGCTGTCTTACCTGGTTTGGGTATCAGTGTTGTGAAACCCCGCACAGCCTGTATGTGGTCCCTCCCTCTGCTCACCATCTCCCTGTGCCCTGGTCTAATAAAGGAACATCCATGGAGGGTAGGTGTGACCTCTTTAGTGGTTACAACAGTATATTAACCACATTTAAGTAATTTAAATATTTCTGTCATCTGCCTTCCCCAGACATTTTTGCCAACACATTTCTTCCACTGTCTTCTGGAAGGAGAGAAGAGTAAGAAACAGACCTCGGCCTGAAATGGTCAATCCCTGCTTAGCAACCCTCACGGGGGCTGGGGTGGGAGTCTGCTGGGTCATGTATCTGGTAGAGAAACTGTCTGATTTGTTCTGTAAATGTGTGCATGGGGATTGTGTGTGCCGTTCTCCTCATTGAGCACAGGCACCGTGCTCTCACTCAGCCCGTGCCCTCTCCAAGCACTGATGTACCCTGGGCGTCAGCAGACCAGCAGGGAGAGACACACTTAGCAGGGGAAATGGGCTCAACCACCGTTGGCAACGGCAGAGACTACAAAAATACAAACCGAGTGCAGGACCCCCAAGCTCTGCACATGCTCCACTGGGGCTGTTTCTAATTCCTTCAGGCCAGAATTCAGGTGAGTGATTTTCTGTTGACCAAAGAGAGTTCATGGGTTTCCTTTGATCAGCACACTCATGTCCTCTCCCAGCTCCCACTTCTATAGAAATCCCAGTACAAGACAAACAGTGACAAACCTCTCCTTAAAAATGTCATTGTGCCACTCTGAGGCTGGCTGCAGAACAATTTTGGCCTCTTTCCAGAGGCAGGTGTGACCGGAGCCAATCTGTATGAGGTGACTTGTTGGCTAGGGAATCATTAGCCGTGTGGACAAGCATAACAATGTTGCATTCTTGTGAGCCCCTGGGAACATGCACACCCCTCTACAGAGGGACTGCATTTACCTCCCTGGTCCCTTCACAGTTTGGATGAAAAATCGCCCAGGGTTCCAACATTTAACATTCTTTTTCATTTTCTGTCCTGGAATGTCTCGGTGTGGCTTGGCTTGTCGCCAACCTGTTGCACACCATGCCCCTTTTCCCTCGTCCAGGGGACGTGTGAGAGGAAAGCTGTATGCTCAGGTCTTACCTTTGGGGCTGCCTTAGCCTGAAAATTTGCTGGTGTCTTCTTCAAGTTTGGGGCAACTTCCCAAACTGTTTTGTGGGTCTTCTGTTTTGTATTATTTTCCTCCCAGACTGCAGCAGGAGATTTAATTCTGATCCTAAGATTAATTTTATATACATTTCGCAACACATGGCCTGATTTCTTCAGCGACTATTAGGCATTAGTGGCTCAGGAGATGTAGGACAGTGACAAAGTAAGAAACATTCTACAGAATGCTCTGCACTGCAGAAGCCATGTTCCGGCCTTTTAAAATGAAGCTCAGCTTGATCAACCCTGAGTTTTCTGGACCGTCTCCCCTTTTTTCTCTGTTGTCTTTCCTCAACACCTGTCTTCTCCTTCTCTAGGCTATGGTACCTTTGTGCTTCTTGTGGTACCAAGGAAGGGAAATGAGGATTTTTCCATCTCGCTCAACTGTCCTATGTGAAGAGCTCTGTTTATGTGAATGGTAGATTTTAAGGAGGGTATGTGGGGCCCACTGTGGATGAGTGTGAGTGGGGAGAGGAGGAGAAGCCCAAAGGGGATTCAGCTGGGGCTGCAGCTGCAGTGGGCAGGTGTAGGGGCTGGGTGGGTAGGGGTGAGTGGGTCTTGGGACATAGGGAGCCTAGAACATGGTGGGAGCTGAAGCTCCCTGGAGTCTTTCTGGAAGTGATTGGTTAGACTTCTCCAGAGTGGTAGCCCAACACCCTCACTAAGTTGTATGGTTTCTTATGGTTGCCCTAGTTACTGCCCAAGGGCAAATAATGTAGCCCAGCCAGTTGCCATGGTGGCATCTGTGACCCCTAGTCCACACAGCATATGACATCTCTAGCTGGGATCAGGCAGTGAACTACAGGGGGCTGCCAGAGTCCCATGCAGACAGGTGAGCATTGGTGGTCGAGAGAATTAGACACATCAGAGGGATTAAAACTTCCACCCCACCCTGGGAACTTTGAGACACCAAATCCCCGATTTAATCTGTGACAACCTCCACCCACTATGTTCCCTGGCTAGAGCCATTTCTACAGAACAGCAGGATGTTTCTGCTCTATCTCTGAGCTGTCATGGATGCTGTAATCCTGATTCCACCCATTGGCTCACTCTGCCACCCTACAATTGGGAATGGACTCCCAATTGTAAGCACCCATCCTCCTGGAGACGTCAATAAGCAGAAGGAGAGAAGCCATCCAAAGCTGCTCATTCTGATGGATTTGCCAATAGAATTTACATGAAACAGCAAGAGATCAATGAGAGAAGCCACAGATCTGAGACCCTCAGCTTTCTCAAATTCACATGCTTGAGTTTGCACATTTGTCCAAACCCCACATTTCTTCTGTCTTCTTTCCCCCTTTTGACTCCAGTCTCCTCTCCATCCTCCACGTTGCTAGACCTTCTGCATTGGCTCTGGCAGGCCCCCAGAGCTGATTTCTCCCTTGCCCAGCTCAGTCTGCTTCTCTCCCTCCTGGTGTTCTCAGGCCTTTCCATGTTTGATGCGGCGTAAGGTTGGTCCCAATGTCTGTATTGGTTCCCATGCTCTCTTGCCTTGGTAGTAGATTGCTTCAGCCATTCTCCTTCCATGTGCCAAATTAGGCTGAGTATCAAACATTTATTTTCTATTATATCTTGAGTCAGTGTTCACATGAGCTGAGCTTTCTCCCCTCTGTCTTTTATCGTTTTGTTTTGTTTGGGGCACAGGCCTATTTTTTTTTCCAAATGGTGTCTACTCATTTCTAAAATACAATTTGAATTTGACTGTATTACCATAGTTAATGGTCAGCTTTTTCAATCAATATGTTACTCACTAATATGTTCACCCTGATTGGATCCTTGGGCTGGTGACAGGGAGGGAATCCTTTTTATAACAAGATTCTGAACCAGTGTCATGAGACCAGCCACATTGGGAGTATTTTGCTATTTATAACTATATTCGTTTCCTATTGCTGCTAAAGCACAAACTTTAGTGACTTAAAATAATACAAATGTATCATCTCACAGTTCTGAAGGTTAGAAGTTCAAAAGGGGTCTCCTGGGGCAAAATAAAGGTATTTTTAGCAGGGTTGTGTTCTTTCTGGAGTCTCCAGGGAGGATCCATTTCCTTGCCTTTTTCAGCTTCTAGAGGTTGCCCTCCTCATTCCCTGGCTTAGAGCCCCTCCTCTATCTTCAAAGGACAAAGCTCCAGCCTCTTACTTCCATCATTCATGGGCTCTTCTGTGACCACCCTGCATTCATCTTACAAGGAACCTCGTGATTCATTGGGTCCACCCATATATTTCAGGATATCTTCATCTCAAGATCTTTAACTTAAATAAGATCTCTGTTACCTCATAAGATAACACATTCACAGTCTCTAGGGATTAGGATGTGGACGCATTTAGGGGGCCATTACTCACCCTACCACAATAACCAAATCACACAGCCAAATAGCTATCATTTATTGGACACCACAGACCAGGCAGGCACTCTACATGGATTCCATCATGTAATTCTTAAAATAACCCTATTGGATACCTACCACTATAACTGTAATTTGACCAATGAGGAAGGCATGGCTTAGAGAAAACTTATCCTATTGTTAGTAAGAGGCAAACCCAGGCCTTACATCTCAGCTCTCTGAATTGTGTTCTCCCTTCCCTAAAAAAATTAAAAAAAAAAGAATAAATAAATCTTTAGAAAGTTAACCAGTGGGTTTGAAGTTCTCTCAGTAGATAGGAAGCAAAGAGAATGACAGCCAAACTGTTGGCCTGATGGACCACTTTGGCCATCAGATATTGCCAGTGTAACTTCTTACAAAACCATTGCAAGCCCACTCTGCAGACCCACCTATCCCTCGGATAAATGTGCATTAAGCAACTCTATATGCCAAGCCAGGGAGCATGGTTCTCTGCATCAGCCATGGGGACTCCAAACAGGTGGAGGT